GCGGTGGTGGTGGTGGCAGTGGTGGTAGTGGTACTGGCGGTGGCGGTGGCGGCGGCGGCGGCCATCGTGGAGGGGGCAAGCGTACCCCACGCTGTTCCACGGACGCATTCCACGCAAAAATTCACGCTCTCACCCCTGATGCTACCACTGATTATTCGCACCGATAAATTTCGTTGAAGTGTTGGCGTTAACAACAGCAACGAGAGGCATTCGCGGTCGAAAGACGATGCGGTGCCAGCCAATATTATCATCGGTTGGTATCAATGTAATCATCGGTTCCCATCGTCCAACTGCTAGCGCAGGCTTGCGACTTTTTCATGCAACTCGGCTGCGATTCTAGAATCGCAGTCGAAATTGCTGTGAAATCGCTATGTCTGCGGGAACTTGCAACTGCAACTCGTAGCGATTCTGGTCGCTTGCAACGAGTTGCAAGAAATCAAACTGGTTTGATTTTCAGCAACTCGTCGCTCCCAATCGCTCCGAAATCACTTCGAAATCGCATGTGTGCGGGTATAGACAGCGACTTGCACACACGGTGAAGCGTGCGACCAATCGCATGCGGTTGCAGGTTGCAGCGACGAGCAACCAAAAGTCGTAAGTCTGCGCTAGGCTTTAAGGTTGAGACGTCACTGAAGATTTTATTCATTGGCAAGCGCGCGGGAATTCTGCATTCTCATGTTCTGCTCCTATTGCGAGATCTCCCCCCACGCGTGTTACAGTAGCTGTCCATTTGATTTTCCTGACGGGAGCGCGCATCCTTGATTTATTTACTTTGATAGCGGTGTTTTACTAAGCCGATTTTTGCTCGCAGCTGTATTTCGGTGCAGGCAGAAGTAAGTACGATACGAATTGAGAATTGATTTAAGTGACAGTTGACAGAATACCGAGCTGTATTACAGTGATACTTAATTACTATACAGAAAACACAAACTGGAGTTGATTCTGCGGCTGCTTTATCGACGGTAAAATTCCCCCTTCTACGGAAATCTTCTACGGAAATCTTCTACGCAAATCG